CAACAAGCAACTTAACTTAAGTATCTACGGATCCAAGTTCATGCATTTGGCTAAGGCGACAAATGACATAACATGGACCACCGACTATCAAGATAGATTCATAACATATAAGGGAAAACTAAGGCAAACAGAGCCATTTGACCAAACATGATGCACCTCCGGAGGCCCAGTGAAAGAGAACAAATACAAATTTCGATACAGGAAGTGTACTCTCTTTTTAAAATAAAAATAAAAAATAAAAAATAAAAAAAATAGACTCACATAGAAATTACAGAGGAATTAACTCAAGGTGTGGAGCAACATAGCCAAACATGCAAATTTATAGTGAGTTACCCAACATAGCATTATTGACTGAGATGCGAAAGATACATATAACATTTAGCCATATAAGAGACAAAGATAGATTCTACGAAATTAAACTAGCATGCGAGAACTCGAAACGATGCAAAGACAACCTAGAACACGAACGAACAGTGAGGGAAATAAGCTACAAAATTAGCACACTCCAAGCATAAACTAGATGCGCCTCGACTATTCGGAGAAAAACGAGACAGAGATTTAATTAGCCTTAATACATGCTGCCAAGACAAAAACCCAAACGGTTGATAACTAAACCCCGGAGAACCAGAATCATACATGATTCTCAAAGATCAGCAGAAAACCTCACCCAAAAAATAAAAAATAAAACACTAGCAACAAAGACAACAACAAGAATGAACACATGGAAATGCCATATAGGAAAGTGAGTATAAAAGGGGATGAAGTTACCGTTCTTGGAGCAGCAAACTCTGGACAGCTACGAGCCTGAACGACGACCTTCACCAGGAAACCCGAACACTAGCAATGACCAGGAAATCTGGACAGAAATTTGAACTCAAACACCGAAACTATTCCCCCTTTTCTTGCGAAATGTATTTAGTGTATTTTAAGTACCCCCGCTCTTCTCTGTATTGTATAGGTATTTTATAGCTATTTCTTACTATGGTTGCTCTCTGTATATCTGTTAGGGAAAGAAAATGTCAACTAAAGATCTCCAAATTTCACCCCTCTATCTTTCCAATCCTCTTCCCCCTTTTAACATGAGCAAATGATGCTCTATATATCCCCGAATTAGGGTAGATTCGATGGAGGGAAAACCAGTGAAATTCGGACAGAAAACGCCCAATTCAAAAATCAAAAACCCCAAAATTCTTTCACCATTTAGGATAAACACTTTTTCTTGAAGTTTCGTCCCCATTCCGAAAGAAGAAATGGGGACAGACGCGTGTTGCTGCCCTGCTGTATGACTGCGAATTGAAAGGGATGGGGGAAAGGAGACAAAAGAGATGCAGCTACTGCTTTCCGTCCATCTCATTGACGCCGTGAGTGAGCTGCTGCCATTGATCGATGTTGTCGTTTTTGTTGCTGTTCACGCCGCTTGTGAACGTGGGTACTGAACGTTGGAAAAGGAATGAAAGCTTCTGGGTTTATTTTGTGGGAAAGGAAGTGGGCCGGGTTTCTTTTGAAAGAAAATGGGTAGACGTTTTGAAAAAAAAATGGAATTAAGGAATTTTGAAAAGAAGAAAAGTTGGGTCGGTTGGCAATGTTTTTGGGTTGGGAAATATTAGCATTGACCGCCAAACCTGGTCTTAAAAATATGGATTTTAGAGTAAGGTAACAAAATGAATTAATAATTGCATCCTTAACAGTTTAGCCAAATTGACTTGCAATTGGCCAATTGAATTAAGATTTTAACCAAATTGAGTTGATTTGCAAAATTTGGCTAAAATTTGAATAGGATGAATTGATATAATTAATTTACGAGCTTCTTAATCTTAACGAGATAAAATAATTAACTTAATTATAAACCAATTAACTTAAAACTATAACCATAATTTAATAGCGCAAATTAATAAAAGGTGCTTTCCAAATCAATAAATTAAATGAGATAAAAATAACATAAAAACAAGAATAATCAAACTAAATAACCTATAAGCATACTTTAAACCAAACTAATCTAATTGAATATTTAATTAAAACAAACTCCTTTTGGGATGATTTTCAAATATTTATAAAATATGCTAATTAGACACATAATTATATAATAACTAACTTAATTATAAACTAATTAACTCGAAATATAAGCTATTAATTAATTTAAACTAAATAGTCAAATATTTAAATAAAACTAAAATCCTTTTGAGACAATTTTTGAACATTCATAAAATATACTAATTAGACACATAATTATATAAAATATCATATTTATTATTTTACAATTTATAAAAATGACAAAACCACTTAAAATGACTTGAAAATTATTTTGAATTTTATAAAGCCAATTATTTCAAATCATTTGGAATTTAGGAAGCTCGATGATTAATTTATATTGGGGAGGGTCAAAATTGGGTGTCAACAAGGTCTATTTTTTGTGGGTTTTAAAGTGGCCTGAATCAAATCCTTTTGGGTCCATATTGATATTTCGTAAAGTGATCTAGTGCTGATGGGCTGATCCATGGCAGTTTGAAAAGTACATGCATTTGTATCACCAAGAAACTTTTCGAAATAGTTAATATTAGACCTTTTTAGTTATACTTTTGCTAATTACAATTCATAGTTAAATTATTGTTTGATACTAAATGTATTGTTTTTTTCAAAGTTATTTTGAATATAAATAAAATATCTAATGCAATGCATTAATTGTGCAGTATCTTTTTAAAAAGAAAATTTAGTATGATATCTCAATCTTCCATGATTAATGGAATTAAGAAATCTCACTATCTTTTTCATTAAAAAAAAAGGATTGCACTAAAAGATTTTTTTCTTCTTCATTAATTTCGTTGTATCACTAACTATTACTGATACAACTTGGATACATAATTGTTATTTTTTTGTTATAGACTCTCTTTTCACTTGAATGTATTGATACGACATTGATATAAATGCATTCTGGTAATGAATTCACTATAGAAATACTCAAATACATTGATATAAATGCATTCTGGTAATAAATACACTATAGAAATACTCAAATACATTGATATAAATGCATTCCGGTAATGAATACACTATAGAAATACTCAAATACATTGATGTAAATGTATAATAGTGAACAAAAATACACTCATATACATGATACAAATGTGAAACAAAGAACTAATGGAGTGGAATACGTTGATACAAATTTATAACAAGTAGCAAGATACACAATACATTGATACAAAATGAAAAACAGGGAATAGATACACTTGATACATTAATACAAATGTGTAATCAATAGCAGATACAAACAAATACATTTGATTCAATAATAGTGAATAGATACATGAATACAATGCATAGACATGTACACTGATACATGAATAGAATGCATATACACGTGCATTTGATTATTTGAAAAGTCCCCAAATTTGCCTCAAATTTGCACTTAAAATTCCTCAAATTCGAGATATGAACTCCTCGTGATATATTCAATCTTTAAAAGACACCACACATTAATTTTAGGAACAATTTCATAACCCCGTAATTTGAATTTTAAGCTTCAAAACTTTCTTTCATGGTTACAATGAAGATTTGTAAAAATCATCTCAAGCTAATAATGACAACGGTTTATAGAGAAAGAGAGGAAGCGCAATGTCGTTAAGTTTGAATTTTAAAAGAATTCGAAAGAACCGTCCATAGAAGAAAAGAGGAAAAATAACCATACATGAAAGAGGAAAAAATGTGTTAATTTGAAGTTATACACCTATTTGGTGAGAGAAAAGAGGAAAAACAGATAATTGATAAATACAATGCCTAAAATTAAGCCTAGAAATACACTAATTGATAGATGAATTTTTAAATTGAAAAATAGCTATTAAATGAATTATATAGCTGTGAATTATAAATTTTTAAAACTATAATTATATATAATAAATATATAGCATATATTTGTCTTACTATATGTAGTTTTTTCTATTTATGAACTATAGAGGCCCAAGTATAAAGTAAGGGAGAAGCAAAGGTTCAACTTGAGAAATGACCCTAACATGGGTGGGTCTTTGACATTTTGTCCCCCATAGAAGAAAAAAAAAGTAACATAAATGACCTTCATAAAGGGTGGTCTTGATTCTTTTATACTCCACTTAACAAATTTTAATAAAAAGAGTCTCTACTTTATAAAATTCTAAATTTTGGCCATAAGACAGACATTGGCTATATTTTAAAATAGTGAACTTGTTCAATTAATGAGAATTTATGCAAAAGTTAGAATTTAGGTATGTTGCTTATTAGGCATAAATTTTAACTAATTTTGCCCATTAAATCAATATTGAAGATATTTTAAGATAATGAACCTACTTAATTGACTTGAAATTTAGCCTTATAAGCAAAAGATATAACTTTGGTTTGTTGCATATCATGCAAAACCATATTAATGCTCATTACACTTCCAAAGAAAAAGGCTTTCTCGTAATAATTTGTATGGAGAAAGTGTTTGACATGTGGAAGGTGTAATGGCTCAAAGTACAAAGCCAAAACTGAATTTGGTTGCCTCCTTGTGAATGTGTAAGAGAGTTGTCCCTTTCTATTGTCCAATTTCCAGTAAGTGAGTTGTTTTTTTTCACAACTACTCTTTCCTTAATTCACATGTAGGGTAGCCCTTAAAATTTACTATGAGTTTATATAATAATAATAATTGAGCTCATGGTCAAATACTTACAAATATTTAGTAAGTTTTTAACACATGCACAGAAGTCAAGCAAAAGTTACTGAATTCACGTGAATTCATATATAAAACTCTAGATTTGCCCTGATTTCTCTTGTAGTTAAGAGATTAGTCCTTGATCCTTAGAACACAATCTCTGTTTGTAGATATATGTGCTGGAAAATTATAGAACCAAAACTATTAGCCTTGTCCTTTATGACATCAACAATAAACACTTCACACTCTTGACTTGTAAGGAGTGCTTCTTCTTAAATAGGCTTTATATGGAGTGAATTCGAATTAGTCAAGGTCTCAATGCGATATCAGACATTGGATGGAAAACCAAAAAGGGACTCGTAAATTCATACCTTGTGAATATCAATACTCCAATCCATTATTTTGAAACAATTGACAGACGGATTGTATTAACTCCATTTGAATAGTAGTATAGCAGAATAGATCTTATAAATGAATCAAGAAAACTACATTGGAGAAAGAAGACTGACATTATTAAAACTTGCAATATTCTTTGAACAACAGACAGAATGTCCTTGGTTGGGGATTATTGTGCATCTCTAAAGACATCTTCCTCCAAAGCCTGCTGTTTTGAACAAGGTTTGCTTTACATCTTCACCGCTCAAAATTGCTCGATGCTCCCTTGCCTATAAAAATCCAGAAACAAAAGGAAATTCAACATGCTCAAACATCACATGGAACATTTTAAAACAGTTGCTAGAGTCTGTAATCGATCAATTATGTCTCGATCTCAAATTAATTGAGGCCATTTATGTGAATCTTTTGTATTCATTCTGCTTTATTAGTTGAGGTCAATGCTTAGTTCATGTGATTGATCATAATTTGAGCTTAACCTATCCCAACTTTCGTTCTTTATCACAATATTGGACTTCAAATTCATAATTTGTACATATTAAATGATTCAGTTGATTCATGCCAAGACTATTGCATTCTGTCAAACTCAAACCGCAAATGATACATTTGCCGTGAACACAATGCACTAAGTTTCCATGGTTTGAACACACTGTGTGACTTCCAATAATTTTTACCGTTGCACCATGGCTCCCTGTCCTAAGAAGCATACGTCATTAAAAAAATTGGTTTCTACTTAGTAATAGAGCGACCAGAGGTCAAAGATAGTACCTCCGAACAAGAAGCTTGCAATGAGAAGTCACTGAAACAGCTGATAACACATTGTTGTACATCAAGCCCAAGAGCTTCTAATGTGCTCACTGTTGACAACAACAACCCTGGCTTTGCACTGCAACAGATCTCGATTCTGGTGTCTGCATTTCTCCTTTCTACCTCAAACTAAAATATTTCCCACCCAACATATAAGTGTCAAACAAATTACACACACAGACATAATTAAAGTCTCTTACAATTATTGACAAAATGTACCTTAGGAGGCTTTTTAACAAGTGCTTCATTTGGCTTTAACTCCTTGAAGTTTCCTACGAATTTAATATCCTTAATTTCGTCTTTCACATTATCATCTTCACGCAATGTATGGATTTTTTCTAAAAGCTCCTTCATGTAATCGATTGCATCTCCAAGTATAGATGTTCTGTCCATCTACTCAATCAATTTAAAGAACTGCATTCAGTACAACAGGGCACAGGCAGAACCATAGTATATAACACCCAGAGTCTTGGTTAAAGAGAAAATTAGACAGTCAATTTTAACTACATTTAACTTATAAATACATTAACAGATTAAAACTATTACAATAACAACAATATAATCCGTGTAATCCACGAGCGATCAAATTTGTGGATAATAGGATGTACACAGATCTTACGCCTGCCTTTGTTAGGTAGAGAAATACCCTTGACTCAAAATAAGTGTAATCAAAGCAAAATTGAAAGAAAAATACCGGGCAGCAATATAGCAATAAACACATATCAAATGAAGTAGCAAATTGCAAGATACACTTGTTAAAAATATTTACAATGGAAAATGACTTGTTATATCACATATACAGTATTGTTACACAAATGACTCACGTATACTCTTTAAGCTGAACTGATGTAGTAGATTAAGTACAATGCAATAACTACATCTCATCCCAAATTGGGTAAAAGGAGATGGGAAGGAGATTACAAGATGGGAATCGAACAATTATGAAAAAAAACAAAAAACTTAATAGCTAACTACTAAAATTTCTGAATAATTAGAAAGAAAGAAATGAGGAAATTTACCTTGCTAATCTTAGGAACAATGGATCTAAGCATAGAGAGTCTATCATTGAGTCTCTTTCTTCTCCTCCTCTCTGCCATTAAATTTTTTGAAGGCTGTCCTTCAACCTTCCTAATTTTATTCTTCTTTTCTCCCACATTACCCATTAATCTTGAATTTGCTTCTTCAACTTTAACATCACTAAAGCTATTCAACTCTTCTTGCAATCCATGAAAATCACTAGGAATAATCCCACCAAATTCTTCATGATTTTCCACAACTGCTCTGTCACTGTAGTCATCAAGTAGTGGTGGACCAGTAAAAGAAGAATCAAGAAATTGATAGGATTCAGGTGAAGTAAAATCAGGAAAATTTGACTGTGAGGTAGATATTGGAGGTGAAATGAGGCCCAAAAGTGAAGAATTTAAGGCAACAAATTCAGGGTTTTGGTAAAAAGGTAGTGGTGATTCAAAAGTCCATCCATTTCCATTTGGGAAAAAATCATTCAAAGTGCTCCAACTTTCTTTTCTTGGAGCTAATAATTCCTCCAAAATATCATGTTCACAAAGCTCCATTTTTTTATTTTTTTTTGCTCTCTCAAATATCAAAAAGTGGAATGGTTTACAAATAATATAATGTCGAAGGAACATGGAGTACTATTTAATAGAGCCTTTTTGTTATACGGAATGAGTTAAGTATTTTTTATTAGGTACTTTATTGAGTTAATAATATCACCTACAGAATAAGAGTAGATGTACCTTTCTATACTCTATTTTCCGCTAAAGTTGATCCATGTCAACTATTGATATTTTAATAATTTGCAATTTAAATTATATCATAGTTGATTAGAATTATGTAGATATTAGTACTATAAATACAGAGATATATAGAGTAATAATGTATATATAAATTTTGCTGATTGGTTAGAGTTATACAAATTTAATTGTTTACGTAGTATTACTTATTTCAAAGATACCTCACATAATAGTACTACAAATCAAGGGAAATAACTGAAACAAATGAAGTAACTGACATTGATGTATACTACAACTTATTATTTTAATGTCATTTTCATTGAAATCTTAAATTAGAAAGAAGTAGTATTCAAATCCTCGCAGTTTGAGGGGTTTGACCCATATGTCTAATAAATAGAAAAAGGATGGACAAATGTCGATAACAATGACAGGTTCTTTGCATATTGTGTTAACTACCTATTTTTGACTAATTTAATTACACTAATCTTTCATTTGACATAGTCTTTTCGTTTTCTTTTCTAAGAAAAACAGGTAGGTTTGCTTATATATTGGACTCATTCATAAAAATAATTAAAGATAAATTTCAAGTTTAAAACAGTGATTAACCTGTTTTTCAAGTGATTTTTTTTCTTTCCGCTCTCGATTTTTTTTACTTTTTTTTCAACATAAATGAATGTTCAGTTACTTTTATATTATTTATTTATGTTTCTTTGTCCCAATTACAGGGTTTGATTAAATTCGTAGCTCAAAAATTACATCCATCACTGTTTGATTAAGAAAGAGTATCCGCACATTACCTCTCTCTCTATAAGTACTTTGTATTTGAAAACTCAATAACATAGTACTTAGTTACTTATATTAATTTCATACGGTGATGGTAAATAATTTAATATGTAATTTCTCATTATATCGTAATGAAAAAAGTTGCAATTTTAATATTGAAAAATAATTTTAAAACATTAATGGGTACCGTTTGATAATTATCATTTACTGTAATAATAAAAGGATATACTTTAAATTTGAAATATAGTTAAAGGGATGATTTTGGTCCCAAAAAAAAACTCCGAGTAACTTAAAATTTATTCCATCGTTCACTTTTACTAATTATTTCTTTTAAAAATAAATTTTTATTTTAATTTATCACGATTGATGAGTATCAAAAAAAGATTTTTTTTTTTTTTTTACGTTTTACCCTTAGTATTAAATATTATTCTCTGTATCATGTGGTAAATAACACATAAAAAAAAAAGAATTTTAACAAGTGTTCAAATCAAGCAATGACAAATAAAAATAAATGACGGAAATATTTACTAGTGTAGTAATTTCCTATATACATATAGTGTTGACAAGTGACAAGACTAGGAGACAAGACCGTGACCATGTTGATTTCTTCCCATTCCAACACATAAAACATGTATTATATGACTGTTTGTTGGGTAATTAAAAACCACGAGCGTCCCTTCGCACTGGTTTTTATTTCCAACTTATTAATTCCTGGTTTTCAATATCTACATACGCAAATTAAATTATTGAATTGATTACTGTGTTGAGTATACGTGACAAATGTAGGATTTAGAGCAAGTGACCTATCGTTAGAGGGTTTTGCTGATTATTTTTTTAAAAATTATACAAATCAATTGTTTGATTATACAGTTAGATTAAAATTCATTTTTTTCTAAATTGTCCTAATCATTTTTTTACAAAAATAATAATTTATTTGTACAATTCGATAATTTAATTTTAAAATGTCAGGTATACTTGCACCAGTATTAGGAGTTAGGACTTAGGACTTAGGTGGCCTCATTTTTTGTGTAAAGTATTTAACAAGTATTTTTTAATATAAGCATAGAGTGTAATACTATACCGTTCGTGAAGTAAAATTTTATTACAAGAACTTGTTATTTGTAGGGCACAAATAGCAATAATGCAGGCTTACTCTCCGTCTGAATTTAGAATTTTTAGAACATAACGGTATATATATTAAGTGAGAATTGATCACTAATTTTTTTTTAAAAAACTTTTAATATTTAATTAAGCGCATGCATTATTAATTCTTCTTTTAGCATGAGTTTTAGTGGATAATGTTATATTAATTTTAAAACTATATTTAATATCTATTTTTTATGAAAAAGCCACGAGTTCTTGTGTCTCATTTTTAAGCTATAAATTCGCCACTCTGGGGCATAAAAATTATGTTGAATAGATCTTCAATTCAAGAAAACTATTTTCACGATAAGTTTGAAACTCGCAACAGTACACTTTTTATTATTAAATATACATATTATTATTTTAAATTAAAATAACAAATATTTAGTTTCTAACAACAATTTTTAAAAGTTTTGAGAAAGCAATAAGGAAATAATATCATCATCAAAGGATGTGATACATTGAAAATGACTGCTACTTTTTTAATTAAAAATCTTACATTCGAATTTTGAAAAAAAGTTTTGACAAAAAAGTATTTCTTCTTAAATGAAACTCTATACGTAATATAAATTTAAATTAATTAAACTTTAATATTAATATTGATCATCAAATAAAAAACTATGAAAAATATGTCCGGCATATGACTCATGAGCTGTGTTTTGTGGCGCCACACAGAAAACCTAGGAAGGGTAGGTTGTGGGACAGCAGGTAGCACACAATATTTTTTACGGGCAAAACCACTTTCTATGGGCCTTTTTTTTTGTTTTTTTTTACTAATAGACTCATTTTTTATTTCAATATGTAGTACGATGTCCTTCGGGATGACTCATTTGGTTTGGAAGGTGGTTATCCACACGGATGACTCGGGATCGATCCCTCCTCAATGCCTTCTGAATCGAGTCTGTCGCATTGGGCTTGCTTAGTGCGGTTTACATTTCTTGTGTGGTTTACAGGCTATTACACAGTGGAGGGTTTACCCAGTGCGCACAAAGTGTTCACCACAGAATGCTCACCCGAAGGACAGAGGCTGTGACAAAGATTGTAACGGCTGCGGGTTATATCCTGGGGTTCCAAAAAAAAAAATATAGTACGATTGAAAAGGTGAGGGTCCAAATTACTTGATTTTGTGTACGATTATTATTATTCTTATTTCTTCATTTGGCTAGGGGAGTATAATGTAGCAGAAAGGACTAGTAATATATTACAAACGTTAATAATGTTGGTTGTTGCCACTACTCTTCCGGTCCTCCTTTGTTTTTGTTTCCTTGCCAACCTCTAGAATTAACGTTTATATTGTCTTTTTAAAAATATTTTCTTTAGGATTATTTTTTTTGTTTTAGGAATTTGGTATTCAAAATTACTAACTTATTGGCATGGTAAATTTGAATTTGGTTGGGCTACTATGAGATTAAATGGGTCTTTATTAAAAGATTTTATCATTTTCAAGAACAAGAAGTAAGTTGTCCAACGGAGCTATAAACATGTACAAGGATATTAAGAAAGTTAAGGGTGACATTGGGGATTTGTGTATTGAAATATGATTCTAATAACATAATTTATTTTCTAGGTTCATGGGCGGGCTTATGTATCTGCCAGAAGGTACATGAGAAAATGGTCTAAAACCCTTCAATTTATACCCGCAATCCCAACTACACACTCCAATTTTATGGGTGTCATATTACTCCCTGAACTATTTTAAACTGTAATAATTGCACCCCTTAAAAGCTATAACCAGATCTGTGTTGGCCTGTGAATTTCATGCGTTTTACAGGTGAAAATTCAATTAATTAATTTTTTTTTCAATCTTTTTATAATTCATTTCTACTTTTTCCTATACTCTCCCAATTTCTTCAAATCTCTAAGGTAACTTCTTCCCACAATTCTTTCAAATTCCTATGGAATTGTGAGGAACAAAGATGAATATTGATAGCGGGAGCTTGTCAAGCGATATTCGAGTTTTGCTTGTCGGAGAATATTGAAAAATAATCTAAAAGGATCTACGCATATCGCTGCTACATTGAAGTTTTGCTTGCTTCGCCGGAGCTCGCTGGTTGGAGCAGTGCAATAGCAAGGTTTTGTTGTTATTGTTGTAGTTGACCTTGTTGTGAGAACAGAGGTAGGTCTTCATGGTGGTTGTCTCAGAATGGGAGAGAGATAAGAGGAGAGGGGAAGAGGAGAATGGGGTTTTGTTGGTGGTTTGGGTTTCGCTGGAGGCGGCGACAGTGGTGGCTGATGGTCGAGCAGCAAAAGAGGAACAAACGAAAGCACTAGCAATGCCATTAATGGAGGTCAATTGAGATTGAATCCTTTCATTGATTAATTGAAATTTGAGATTGATAGTTAAAGGATCTACAATAAAAAGAAAAAAAACATTCTCATTAAGGAGTTCAATTGAATTTGATGTAAACCCAATTTAAATTTTTTTCAAATCTGATCCAGATTTCATTTTTGGATGATTGAAAAACATGTCATTTTATCTTTAATTGAATTGATTGTTTTTTCTAAGTTTTTTACATGAGAGTTTATAAGTTTGTGTGAAATCAACAATGGTGAATCTAGTATGAGAATTTGGTCTTTGTTGTTATGGAGAAGAAACAATGGTTTATTTAAGGATGGGGAACATGACTATTGGAGAAAGAGAAATTTTTTGTCAAAATTCACCTTCTAACGCGCCTAGAGGAGGTGAGAACACCTCCTGACAGTCAGCACTTAAGTGTGTAGAAAATAGAGAAATATAAAGTTCAGGGGGTAATAGTACACCCTTAAAATTGGAGTGTGTAGTTGGGATTTCAGGTATAGGTTAGGGGGTTTTAGACCATTTTCTCATATATTTAACACAATTAAGATATTACTTATTAATTAATTATCGCAAAAAATCATTTTTTGATATAGTTTACATTGGTTGGTCAGTCCCAATGTCCCATGCAATCTTCCGTTGTATTTGCTCCCACTCATCTAAGTAGTAAAGTAATGTTTATATTTTTCTTTCTTTGTTTTACGAATTTG